TGAAAGATAGTCTCATGACTGAAATTTGACAGCATTTTTTGAAGCAGCCTTTATATAATGGGCTGCACAGTGGAGCAGTGGTCGGTGGTTAGTGCATGGGTTCTGTCCGGGATCTCCGGCTTACTCTCACAGTCCAAGCATATTTCTGTTGGGTTGATTTTTTTTCCCAAAGGTGTGTGTGTGTGTGTGTGTGTGTGTGCATGGTTGTTTGTCCTGTGTGTCTCTGTGTGGCCCTGTGATGGACTGGTGACCTGTCCAGGGTGGACTCCACCTGCCTGCTGGAGAAAGGCACCAGCCCCCTGCAGCCCTGCGTGGATAAGCGAGTATAGACAAGGGATGGATTCATTTACTAACAGGATGATAGAATTCCTGAAATTCTATCATGGATATTGGTCATGATTGATATCTGGCCAACGCTTGAAACCCCTCTGGAGATACCGTGGTTCAGTGCTCAGGTTCAGCGGGAGTTTCTTCATATTTCTGACAAAATAACTGCTTAAGGTACATTTTATAAACCAGGATTAGATTTAGGGGATTCGAGCAACAGTGACACACTTTGATCTGGGCGACACTCAGGGTTAGGGGGGTGCTTAACGCAACACTGGCTTCTTACGGGTGTGATGTGGAGATGGTAGATCATCTGTACGGCCAGCTCTATGAATCAGTCTCTGTAGAACATGTGACCTGCATGTCAACCACACCCCCTTAGCGCCATTGTGGGTGTATGACTTGTGTTGCTAGGGGAAGTCTTAGCTGGAGTTGAAGCAGAACCAGATTCATAAGGATGGATCAAAGGAAGAAGGACAAACACATCCCTTACAGGAATAAACTTGGAAAGGAGGATAGGAATCGGTATTTTCAGAAACGATCTACAATCAGCAACGTAGATCTGTACGACCTCAAAGGGAACGAACGGAGCTGAGAAGTTTCATATACACATAAGCACAGCCCTACTTCAACATATTTATGATCAAGTAAAGGTAAAAAGTAGCCGTCCAGAAACATGGCTCCACTAACACAGGCGCCAGGTTTTCATTTATGGATGAGCCGTAATCAAACAAGTAATCAGTAAAAAACAGAAGCAGGTACAGAAGCAGTACCTATAGGTGGCGCTGGACGTGTTTGTTTTCATTTTGACCGACACAGTTTTAAAAAATAGTTATGATCGTTTCCTCTCATCATTTTATTTCTCAAATAATAATAAATAAAAATAAAAAATTTAATTGTCATTAATATTTGGTCCAAACAAGCTGACCAGCATGTCTACTTATTGTATTAATGTTACAATTAAATGCATTTCAGCCGCTTATCCAGGGTCGAGTCGCAGGGGCAGCAGCCTGAGCAGGGAGGCCCAGACTCCCCTCTCCCCAGCCACTTGGACCAGCTTCTCCGGGGGAATCCCAAGGCGTTCCCCGGCCAGACGAGAGACGTATTCCCTCCACCGTGTCCTGGGTCTTCCTTTAGGTTTTCTCCTGGTTGGACGTGCCCGGAAAACCTCACCAGGGAGGCGTCCAGGAGGCAACCTAATCAGCTGCCCCAGCCACCTCAACTGGCTCCTCTCGATGTGGAGGAGCAGCGGGTCTACTCTGAGCCCCTCCCGGACGACCGAGCTTCTCACCCTATCTCGAAGCCACTCCGCAGAGAAAACTCATTTCGGTCGCTTGTATCTACGATCTCGTTCTTTCGGTCACTATCCAAAGCTCGTGACCATAGGTGAGGGATGGAACATAGATCGATCGGTAAAACGAGAGCTTTGCCTTCTGGCTCAGCTCTCTCTTCACCACGACAGACCGGTATGATATCACAGCAGACGCAGCACCAATCTGCCTCTCGATCTCACGCTCCATCTTTCCCTCACTTGTGAACAAGACCCCGAGATACTTAAACTCCTCCACTTGAGGCAGGACCTCGTCCCTGGCCTGGAGAAGGCATTCTACCATTTTCCGACTCGTAACCCTGGTCTCAGACTCGGAGGAGCTGATTCTCAACCCAGCTGCTTCACGCTCGGCTGCAAATCGCTTCAATGAGAGCCGAAGATCACGTTCTGATGAAGCCAACGGGACCTCATCATCTGCTAAACCAGAGATTCAGTCCTTAGGCCAAACCATTTCACCTAAAGTGGGAACATTTCACCTGCCGCGCTCTGCTTCCGCTGCCGGCCCATAGACCTGTGACCCACAGCCACGCTTCGAGCTGCTCTCACAGCTCCTCAGCATGCTGATAGCAAGCTTCTGATCAATTCCATTCAAGTGTATTTATGTAGCGTCAAATCACGGCAAGAGTGGTCTCAAGGCACTTCACATGGTAAACATTCCAATACAATCATGGTGTCTAAGTCTGAGATAACGCTCAGAGGTTCTGATGGAAATCTTTTCTACCTCTGTGATGTTCTGTGTGCTACGTTTAAAATGTCTGCACAGCCGTGTGCGTCGGGGTAATTCCGGTCTGTCTGAGATGTTTCCATCAAAATAAACGGTCAAGTACAGAAAATATTCAGGCAACGCGATTCCCGCCTACATTTTATTTTTTGCCTGCTTGTGAAGATAGCATGGCATCCCGTCACACAACAGGACTGGACCATTTTCTGCAGGTTTATAAGCTCTAAACGCGCAAAGCGACCAACGCTTCCTTTGTTTACACGTGTCACGGTGGGTGGAAGTTTGCTGACCCACGTGAAAGAATCACACACGGAAAACAGGTAAGATCTTACAAAAAGTTTATTCTAAAGGAAAGTAAAAGAGAAACTGAGGACGCTGTTCCATAAACGGGACAGGATGAAAATCCAAATCTAACACAAAAGAATAGGGTGAGAACCAGGGATCTGAGAACCGGGGTGTGTGTGTGTGTGTGGGGGGGGGGGGGGGGGGGGGGGGGGGTAAATGGAAAATGGAGTGATCTTACGATGCGGGGACGGAGAATGGGCTGGAGGGGGAGGCTGGTCAGGTCTGGTCTGAGATGGGCCAGGCTGAGGCGAGTGGTTTGTAGTTGAGGAAGATCCGGGGCAGATGGACGGTGAAGAGCGGCCGGCCGGGGGAGGTGAGCGACACAGAGACAGACACACTTTAGGCAGGCCGGGACTGAGACTGGGATCCAGGACGAGAGTACTCTGTGAACAGGGAAGGCTGCATCAGAACAAGTCAAGAATCACAAGAGCTACAGAAAATCTGACTGAGGCAGGACGAGGCTGGAGGCTACCCAACGTGAGCGCTTCAACCGGCGCTGAAACTCCGCTCCTTACTGGCCTTGTTGACGGGAAAATCAGCCCCAGCTGAGACTCTCCGACACGCCCACCTGCAACAAGCCCAGAGGAGCAAAACATGATGAGTCCATGTAGATCAATACAGAACCGTGACCACACACCTAGCCATCCCAGCATGCAACGCGCTGCAGCGCCTGACACGTCACCTGACAAGGGCTGATGGGAGATCAGTCCAGCCCACACGTCATGCATGGTGCTCCCCATCAGCCTCCAGTAGATTTCTGATGGTGACGTTTGCATCATCTCTGATTCATTTCTGGTGTTCTCACTGATCCGTCTTCACTTGTTTGCTGCTTTGGATTAAAATAATATCGGCTAAGTGACCAAATCCAGTGACATCGTGTCACAGGAGGTTAAACCCATAATGTTGACTCATCTGACCCCAGATCAGCCTGTTGGAGCTGAGCTCAGAGCTTTTTTAAAACAGTTTCTGGCAGGGGCGTGTCCATTTAGTGGCCTGGGGTAGCACATGCCACCCTTGGAATCTGATTGGCCACCCCAGGTGCCACCACACTAATTTACCTTTAAATAGGCTTTTCATTGTCCACAAAAGGCTTGGGGGCAAAACAAAAAAAAGCATAACCAGTGGTGCCACCCATGCACAAAGCTGTGCCTCACCTGGGCCACCCCATTTTACAAGATCTGGACACGCCACTGGTTTCCGGATACAGCAGAAACTGGATGACGTGAAGCGATGATGACATCTTCTGATTACTATACCCGTCCTTTTACTCTGATGAAAACAACCGTCCTCCACTTTAGAAAACAGTGTTTGTGTTACACGTGAAGCGATGGTTTTTATAACAGTGTGGTTGCACTAGCAGCAACCCTTCCTTAAAAGTTTAATTCTTTGTAAATTCAACGTGTGTTGCTCTTCTAGCCAGTGGTGTGAGAAGGTCTGGACAAACAACCTGCTTAAAGGGTTAAAGGACAATGAGCCCCTGAGACAATTTTTTCTCAGCACTTTTTGCCAAACCCTCAAACCTGTTTTGCTGGCTGTCCAAACAAATCCAGCGTAGGTGTGTTTAAGTGTGTGTTAACACTCGTGTGTAGGGGTCGTCCCTACACCAAACTCTCAGTGTGAACCCTGAAGACCTCCCACCGGTTATCAAGCACCACCAAGATAAACCGGCCGCTGGCAAAGTCTGACCCAAAAGAGGATCGTGAGACCAGCTGTAGTCCAGAATCCAGCTATGTTTTCCATCTCACCTCTAACTATTTACAAGGATTCTCTGTGGAATGCCAGCCCAAACATTAGTACCAGTTCCCAGAGACGAGGAGAATGTGCTGTCCAATAGCAAGACGCGTTAGAAACGAGACAACAGTCCTGGATTGGCTATTTATGTAAATGCTCACACACACCCCCTTCCAAATTCTGCTCTCCTGAGTCAAATACCCATCCCCCCTCGGGCTCTCCTTCCCTCTCTGCCTCCCATGGGAGGAGGGGTGTTGGACAGAGATCCCAAACCATCTGAATCCTTTTTAACTAAGCGTTCAGGAGCGAGTGCGAGCAATTGTTCCACCAAGCTGTGTACCTTTTCAAACAGGGGACACTGTCACCTTTCAACACGTCCTCTCTCTGCTCGTGGAAATCTCCTCGTGTGCACCAGAAAGCAGAAAACAGGTGCTTACATAATGTCCTTACCGTGGGAGCACAAAGTTGGGGCAGGGGTCTGCAACAGTAGCTCATGGGTTAGAAGTCCCCATGCAGGATTCACTCCAGTTAATGTTGGCAGTGGACTAAATCTGAATCCAAGCAAAAGAACAGCAAAAGTAGCATTCACGTCAATAATTTATAACGTATTTAAAGGTCAACCTCACTGACAAAAATTTATTTTTTATACTCTGAGTTTTTCATTCAGGCTGAACATGAAAATAGTCTCCTACACCTTTCTGCATCAGCTTCTGATAGAAAATAGACGGTGAAATTGTTGGATTAGAAAAGCCTGACAGATCCACGTCACACTGTCACTTAACATTCACGGACTCACCCATCTTGGCTCACGACGGGGAAGGCTGCTGTTGGTTTAGCGTCCGGGAAACAGCAGAGAACGTCTCTGCTAGTAGAAGCTAACCGTTAGCATTAGCAACGCCACCACACAGCAGAACTCCTGCAGGCTTGTGTTATGTGTGGAGATAAAACATCAACGTTGCAGAGCAAACAGAGTCAGTGGCAGAGCTGCGTTGCAGTTAGCCAATCAGAGGAGAGATGTTTAAATATCAGGAAATGAGACTCCGAATCCTGTCGTGTTCAGCTCAACTCTGATCTTATTCACTTCGAGTTCCTGGAACTGTCAGGATCTGGGGTGAGTCAGCACCATTCTGGTCATCGTGCCTCAGGCTCTGCAGGTGGGCGGTTCCGGAGAGCGGCCAGCTGCAGGCTATCTCCAATCAACCGGTCCAGGGTTTATAAGGAGCTGAGAGATCACTTCACTTCGCCGGATGATTACTCACTTTGGGTAGCCCTAGCCACTTCAGAGATATCTATAGCTTTAGTCTTTGTCTTGTGCTCGCTATCAGTCGTTGTTGTTTGAATGTACTCCGCCTTGTCCTCACCAGGAACTCTCACCGCTGACCAATTCTGCAATAACCTGGATTTCACCTCCGAGCCTGATCTCCCTCCACACCTGGACCGACACACTCTCCCACCGCTCACCTCCCTTGGATTCGGATTACCTCCGACGCTGCTCACCCCAGTCCTGCCTACCCTCCCAAGCTCTTGGATTTCCGCTCCACAGTAAGAACCACAGAAACCGAGTCCTCCCTGTCTTGTTCCACTCTGTCCAAACCCTGACCAGTGTTTGTCTCAGCAGACCCAGGCCCGGAGCCGTGCTCAGCATCACCGCCACGTCTGGCGGTGCACCTTTAGTTTCCTTCAAAATAAAACATTTATTTATTTCTTACCTACGTCTCCTGGTGTGATTCTCCATGTCTTGGGCCAGGAAACTCCCCAGAGTCATGACAGAAACAGGCGCACCTTCTTCTTCTTCTTCTTCTTCTTCTTCTTCTTCTTCTTCTTCTTCTCACTGAAGACTGCAAATGTCTTAAAACTATGAGTAGAGTTGATCTTTAAGACACTTAAGGGCTAGTCTTATCTGTGGGTGGGTTTAGAGTGATGTGGTCTTCATCTAATGAACAGGGACTTTAAGAATATTTAACCTTTTGTTAACACTATCCTTTTTATGTCTAATGTAAAAGTGATGGTGGTGTAAACGTTGCTTTAGGACATTGGAGCTGCTTTAAATTGCTCCTGGCTTTGCTCAGACTAGCTGTTAGCCCATCAGTCCTGACGACCTTATGGGTCTCGGAACAGGGGCTTTCTTTGGGAGTCGTTACAACAGATAAGATAGTTATTATTCATCAAAAACTTTCAAAATGGCTGATTTTGTTTTGTTTTAAGACAGATTTGGCTATTTGCACTTTGTACTTTGGTTCCTAATCAAAACAAACCAAACAGCGTTGATTAAATCAGATCATTTCATTAGTTTTTCTTCAGTTTGACAGAATAATTTTCTCTCTGGCTCTTGACGTTCCTAGGGTTTGATTATGTGTCATTAAGCCTCTTTGATGCCAGTATAAACACAGTCCTAATGATGAAAAATACAGCTGTGGACATCTGTATGGAATAACCTACAATTAAGTAAGATTAATACCGGAGTGCTGTGATGATGCCCCTCCCCACGGTGGGTCCCTCGGGGCAATAGGTCTGTGAGAAAAACACTGTTTGTTTGTTTTTACCTTTCATGGGCATGCTGATTATAAGAAATGTCAGAGAGGGATGTAATCTGAGAAGATTTTCCCTCCAGCGCTACTTCTATCATCAGATCTCTGACAATAAAACCAGAAGTTTGCTTGCATTCGTTTATTTTGACTCTGTATTTTATTCTAATCTCAGATACAGAATCTGCAGCGTTACGCTTCGGAGAAACCAAATATCTGGTTTTATTGTGTTGCTGTCCCTCCTCCATCGCGCCTCACCTGTGGATTGTGGAGCAATGATTGCTCTGGACAACCACGCTGAGCTCGTTACCTTTGCGGTGTTTAATGGAGCTCATCGCCTTCTGTTCTTTCACTCACCATTTCTGCTGAAACAGGACACTGCAGCCAGCGGATCGTCCAACAGCACCTTTCTTAGGAAATGACTGGAGCATGGAGCCCGAACTTTGACACGTCCTCTGAAGGCTAAAGACAGAGCAGAAGACAAATCCTCTGAGTAGCTGTGTGGAGATGGCTGCGGTGGTTTCTGCTTCATTTTTTTAGATGTTTTATTGACTTGATTTTATTCTTCTGCCCATCCGTAAACATATAATAAAAAGACCTCCTTTGCAAAACTTCATTTCTATACGTTTTCAAAAGTGACATCTTGGTATTATCTACTTCATGCGGTGTCAGTCGAAATAAAGCCTGGACTTCAAGTCAGGACTGCAGGCAGGTCTGTCCAGTCCCTGAACCTTCCTCTTCTTCTTCAGCTATGTGTGTAATTCATGCAGAAGGTGTTTAAAATCTCTGTTGCATCAAAAACTCTGATGCTAAGTAAACCCACATCATCACAGACTTAGTTTTTGTCTTTGGTCTTGAAGGCAAACTGCCAAAAAAAAAAAAAAAAAAGACCATGTTCCATGTTTGCACAATGGGACGGCTTATCCAGAGGAGCCGGTACCACGTCTGGACGCAGTTAACTCGAGGCTTTAAAGGGACAGTTCAGTGAAATGTGGGAAGGTTTCAAACAACTAATATCTCACCTTTCCTGTTTTAGTTTTTTTTTATCTTTTATTTCATTCACAATGTATAAAATAAACACAAATACAGGATACGTTAACATATTGAAAAAACATTTGAATGAAAAGGAGCAGATAGAAGAAAAAATCTTATGATTTCTGCCCCTTTTTACAAAATAAAATTATCCGCCAAACAAACACAGTGTAACCTCAGTCACTTTCTAATATTTTCACGTCTAATCTTTGATATTATAATTCTCCTTTTCATAATTACTAAATACATTAGATTTTATACATTTTTTAAATATTGCAAGTGTAGTTGATTCTTTAAATTCCTTGTTAATGGCATTCCACAATCTTACACCATTTACAGAAATGTTGCTCTTTAACCTTAGTGGACTAGTGAGCAAATGACTAGTCGCAACATTTCTACAAACAATGGACAATTTTACTGCCTTCATTAAAGAAAAATAACTTTTTTTATGTATTCCAGCATCTAATTGTTTTATTTCACGTGAAAGTTTAAAAAAATGACATCTAAACACTGAATTTTAGAAAAAATACTCAAAACTCTGTCTACTTAATATTCACTTGAATAAGGTGAATAGGCGTGGCAGATCAGCTGTATAATGTGCACAATATAGCACAATTATTGAACTAAAGAACTGCTTCAAAATGTTGTGAGAGACGTTTAAAAAAGCCTAACCCTAACCCAGACACTCATTGAAACGTCCATCCCAATAAATGAGTTCTAGATGTTTACAAATGGAAGAGTAAAGCCGGGCGTACACGGTGCGACTTTTTCACTTTCTTGAGCCGATTTTCCAGTCGTGCGAGAATCCACGACATCGGGGCGAGTTTTGCGCCGAGCGGTCGTGTAGTGTACAGGGGGTTACGAGAGGCGATTAACACCACGTGACCAGCTACCGATCAGCAGTCGTGAGGTCGCACGGACTTCTGGCGTGTTTGATATTTCGCTCGTCCCTCGTGAGGGTATTGCACTGTTGAAGCGGCGCTGCGACCCAAAAAGTATCAGAACCGCTCACGGCGCATGCGCTATCCTGCATGAACGCCGCTCGCTATTACCCTAATAACACACGTTGTTCGTTTTTGTTTCTACACGTTTTTTTTACTCACAAAGATTGTCAAGAAAGCGTGTTTGTCGTGTTCATGTCAAATTAAACTGATCACAAAACACAGATTTACTTTCTTTATTTCGTTTTCCTCATCCAACCCCCATAAATCCCCGTGTGTCCTCCTGCAGCACTCCCGAAGGACAACAGGCAAAACAAGACAAAAAAGTCTGACGTGTTGAGTAAAAACTGCTATTTTTAGCATATTTTTAGGGCCGGCGTGTTGCTACCAGACGTACAGTGTGAGCAGTCAGGTCGCATCCGAGAACTGGGTCGTGCAGTGTGAGTGCATGGCTCGTGAGATCTGCCCTGCGAGGAAGTCGTACAGTTTGAGCTGAAGCTGAACGCTGCGAGTGAAAAAGTCGCACAGTGTACACCCGGCTTTAGCTAAACCAGCAGATAGTCCCCGAGCACGGCCGTGTCTGCAGCTCACCGCTACTCCAGCGGATGGCTCAAATGCGGGGGACAGTTTTCACCACGCCACACACCGGTGTGTGTGAGGCTAATGCTAGCTCGTTGCATCTCTGTGTCCCTGTTGCAGCTCGGGTTAATCGTGCTCTGAAATACTGATTAAAAGTCAAAGACAGGCTTTAAGTACCTTTCAGTGGTAATTGTGTCACTGCTCTGCTGGACGCCAACCTCTTCCCCTCTTCTCACTGTAACCTGTCCTCTCCGCGAGGCTGCTGCAGCCTCTCCTCCCTGTGTGTGTGAGTGCTTGTTTAACTATCCTCCTTGGGGCCAAAACTGGTATATTCACTAATCTCCTGAAGACCCATGGGCCTTATAAGGACCAGAACCCGCTCCTAATATGGTGGACCTGTTTCAGGCTCAGAAGTGAGGTTTGGGGTTAGAATACACCGATTATGGTTAGGGTTAGGCATAAACGCAGTTACTAAAATGATTATCGTCATCATCATCTTTATTTCCGTAGCACGTTCCTTCATCCAAGAGGTGAACCAAAGTGCTGTACGTACAAAAAATGTAAAAACACTGACCCAAGTAACGGCCAACAGTGAAATAAACATGAAAACAAACAAAAAAAAAGGAAACAAAAGCAAAGAACAAGATAAAATAAGTGAAATACAACTGGATAAAAATTTGCTAAATTGTCTAAAAGTACAGCTGACTCGTGTGCAGAGGGAACGCCGTTGTATAAAACTGTTTTCATCCAACTCTTCTCTCCGTCTGATCGTGAGTGGAAGCTCATTCCACAGCTCGGAGGCCAAAAGTGAGAAAGCCCTGCCTCCTCCAGTGGAGTATTTTACTTGTGGAACGACTAGTAAGTCCTGCTGTGCTGACCTAAGTGTGCGTGATGGGTTGTAGCGGGTGAGTAAATCAGACAGATAGCTGGGAGCACTGCTCTGTAGAGACTTAAAAACAAAAACAAATATCTTGAACCTGACTCATAAAGACACTGGAAGCCAGTGCAGATGAGCCGAAACGGGCGTGATGTGTTCCTGCTTTCTGGTGTCGGTCAGGAATCCAGCAGCAGCATTTTGAGCAAGCTGGAGTCGAGCAAGTGCAGCCTTGCGAACTCCAGAGTGAAGGGAGTTGCAATAATCGAGCAGAGAAGTAATAAAAGCATGGACTGCAGTCTGTAGGTGGGCTTTTACACTAGCGGCTTTATCCTAGATGGGCGACAAAGATGGAAAAAGCAGGAGTGCACCACTCCGTTGATGTGAGTCTCTAGCTTCAGTGATGCATCCCAGATCAGTGACTAGCTCCTTCTTGAAGGGGGTCAGTGAAGAGACGTCAACCTCCTGTTTAGCGGCACAGCTAGCACTCGGACTAAAAACAATTCCCTCTGTTTTACCCTCATTAAAACTTGAGAAGCTAGAGGCCATCCATGCTCTTACTTCACAGTCGATCCAGGAGCAGCTCGACTGAGCCTGAGGAACCCAGTCTCAAGGGAAGATAGATTTGGCAATCACCAGCACGCAGATGGAAATCGATCTTGCGCTTCTGAAAACTTGAACCAAGGGGCATCACATAGTGAGAGAACAACAGAGCCCCAGAACAGGCCCCTGAGGTACGCCCCAGCAGAGGCTAGCACAGTTTGA